CTTTTTTTATTCTTTACATTTTAAAGAGATAGGGATTGCGCCCAATTAAAGACTAAAAAACAGGGAACAGAGAATAAAGATTTCAACCTATCAGAATCTCTGTATTCCATAATACATTTCTGATAGAAATTCTTATTCTTCATTCCTAGTTTCCCCATTCCTTTGATTATGCGCAGCTCCATATGATAAGAAAATGGTAGCAGCTGGAGTCAATTCACGGAGTCACGAGGGTCACAACATTGAGAGCGGAAGCAAATCACTCGCGATTTTATATTAGAACGTTAGATCTGTCAGCCGCCACCCGATCTCTTTTTGCAACTTGAGCTTTATTTTATGTACCATCTGGTGACACCAGAAGAGACGAAGCCGACTCGATTGGCATAGCTATGCGCAGGAATGAGCGCATAGAAGCCGCGTACGTGCACTGGAATATTGATCCCTTCTTTATCGTAGCAATAAAGCATGCTGGCAGGAGGAACACGGAGAGACGATACGCGAAAAGTCGTATTATCTCGCGATGCACGACTGGAATTGTCCGATAAACGAGCGTGAATGAAGTACTGCGCACTGTGCACGTTCGTAAGTATTTTTTACATATTTTTTTCTCACGATTACGCAATTTGTCGAATTGATTTTCCGTGAATAAAAGTTGCTAATAGTTCCCGAATTATATAATCAATTAAATGTAAAAAAATGTTTTGGTGGCCTTGGAAAAATTCTAATTATAAAGATTGCAAATTGGAATTGAGTAAGCTTCGTTATCGAAAGGATGTGTGTCTGTTGTATCGTTTTATCGGTCTGCGAGATACAATACAACGATTTGTCCTGCGGAATAAAGCGCTTCAGTTAGCGCGAGCCTCGTATAATCCGATTGGCGGGACTAACGAGCGATGCATTGCTGCAAAAAGCGTGAAAATTCTGCAACGGAAAGTTTTAACGATGTAGCCATGAGAATGTGCGGAACTTACGAATGAGCAAATGGATCAAAGAGGACACGCACGCACTAAATAAACATCGAGACCGTATTATGTCCGAGCGCGTAAATTGTTTGGAGCGATATTAATAATAATGTTATTATCATTATAATTGTAGATTTGTAAGCCTTATCTTGTAAGCGCATGGTAAAGTTGCAAATGTGCGATGAAATGTAAAATTATAAAATTTTTTGCATATATGTTTTAATTAATCATGCTTCATATAGTGTGACTAAAAACAATCTTACATGGTAGTTTAAAACATATTGTATTTGAACATTAAAAAGTGCACATTAATTGAAATTGCTATTTAAAACGAGAAATAATAAAGATTTTCTTGATATCAATCCAAAAGCTCGTGCATAATGCTCTGGAGTCTTTTTAAAAAGCTGCAAAAGCGTCGTCTCCGCTTTAGAAATGTATACCGTATTTATTTTGCTGCTAAGTGACTTTTAATATAACATAGAAGAATGCAGTAAATTGCTCTTAAGAAAGGGAGACACTTTACATCCAGTTGTATTCCTTTCGCGGCGGGAACACAAATATTTTAATCACTAAGGAAAAATTCAAAAAGCTCTACGGCGCGCGGTTGGTGACTCTTTGCCGTATCGATCGCGTCTCGATCGTCCTACTTTTCCCGCGGGCTCGGTCTAGACAAGTAAATTGCGTTGTCGACGCGTTTAATTGCGCGCTCAACCCGGATCAGCTGGTCAAATTAGCAATCGAGTTCATGTGATACGATTGATAAAAATAATAGATCGCCGTTTGAATGCTCGTTTAATAGATATCAAACTAAATGCTGGATATTGGAAGAATCCGTATATTCAATCTATTTCGTTTCAGAATAAATTATAAAACTACTTTTCTTGATCACTTCGCCCCCTCCCCTCTCCCACTGTATACACTTCAATTACAATCCTTTGCAAAAATGTACTTTTATATTGTCTTGGGAATATTGTAAAATGGAATTTTGTGTACACAGTTATTATTAGACAATAAAGTTGCAAGAACGTTATTCGTGCGAAAATAAATTTTAAAATAAATTGCGTTTCTTTTGAATAAACAGGAGACGATCAACAATCCTACAATAGTAAATTTATTGGAATAAATATGACACTGCATAATTTAAGGAAAATTTGTTAAAAAACAGATTAAGATTTCAAACTTTGCACTAATTATTTTGGATGATTTATTGTTTCCTACTTACATAAGAAACTGTGTAATTTTCTTTCTGTTTTGTTCTTATTAAAACATTTGGCGATAAGTGGACGAATGTAGACGTTGTTGTGAAGTGACAATTCTTGTAATTACTGCACAAGAAGAAACAGAGTGTCTCCCAGTATCCCCGTATTGGCACAACCGGATGCGTGTGGCTGTCTTTCGTTTCATGTGTCATGATGTGCCGATTTTTGTCGCGACATTTTATACCTTTCCCACGTGTGTCGAGTAGTGACGCTTTGTGTTTTGTAAAGAAAACAAGCTAGAGAAACAAACAGCTAGAATCCACAACCGGCGTATCGACAACAGTTTCGTAATCGTGGCTTTAGCGTTCTCCAAATTCGGCTGCTGAATATTGCAAATGGCAAAAAACGAGGCGCGACTGACCGGAAGCGGATATTTGCTCCCTTCGGCGTGTGTATCGTGATCGAGATATCCTGGATCTTCAACGTATCGTTTTTTTTTTCTTTGTCGAAGCGAGGATCGAAGAGATTATGTCTTTTTCGTATTTGACGGTTTTTTGCAATAACTATAATATATTTTTATAATAAATTTGATGTATTACTCACGCGAATAGATATGAAAATTATTATATTACATAATTATTATAAATTTACAAAGTAAAATTTTTATGATACTAAAGAACAGATTTGTTAAAATGAAAAACAATCGAGTAATAAATTAAACGTATTGATTGTCAAAAATGTCAGAACAATATACTAGCGATTATACCTATACAACATGTTCTTATATTGTCTTTATTTTAAGTAATCTCTGCAGAAATCGATTTATACTAATTGCTCGTATCGATTTGTTATGTTTTAAAATATAAAGAATACAATGACACGTAAGATATTGTATTATTAGAGAAATGAAGAGCATTGAAGTATTTTCTTATCTCATTTACTACGTCTTTTTAATCACGGAATAAATTCAGTGCAATAGGATCTATCGCTAAACAAACGTTGACGGTGCGATCCCATCCGACATGTAACGGTAAATCTCTCGAATCGCCCATACGTGCACTCCATTTACAGTCTGACATAGTGGACATCGGATAAGCTCGTCGATCCTCGCCTAGACAGCAAACACGAGCCGCAACTGACGGATTTGCGTTTAGGTGACTCGCGAGTCCGCCGATTTCTCGAATACACCGTATATAGAACGATATGAAAATGAGCCGACCACGCGTCGTACCACGATAAAATGATGGTCAATAAAATAACACTGCAGTCCACACCACGTAACAATATCCAAATATATGCACACATATATAGGGTGTCCCAGGTGCCCCATATTCTTGTTTTATCTATATTTACGAATTTCTCGACCAATTTGGAGTAGATCTTTCTGACAACTTCAAAATGTCTAACCAAGTTCAAATTGTTAATAAAAGAAAGCACTATCGTGCACACGCGAACAATTTTTAGTTGAAGAATAATTACAAAGATCATTGTTTAAATTTTTGTAAACAATTTTTAAAAAAATAAGATCAAGTCCAAATTGATAAAGAAATACACACAGGGAATGCAGAGTATCCGGCGCACCCTGTATACATGCGTAGACGGATGAATATAAATATACGTAATAAATATATATCACGTGACGTCCAAGATTAGCGCATCGCAGGAACGATTATGGGTGTCAAGGAGGCATTCTTTGACAAAGAGAACACAAAATGGAAAACGAGCTAAAGGATAACGTTAGAGTAAACCGATGAGCAAGTATTCTCGAGACTAAATGCTTGAAGACTGCGGTTCTCGTGCTCGTTGCGTTGTGGTAATGCGGCACCTTAAAGCCGTCATAGGTCCAGGAGCCTAACTTCAAAACACAGGTCTGTATGTCGTATGGAAAGAACTCAACGTCGATGGAGCAGGAAGATTTATATACGGCCGGCGGTTGCCACACGACCAATCCCGAATGGTAGACCGTGGCCTTGGTCATCAGCGTCACCTCGTAGTTCCCGTCGGCGCTGGAATCACCGAAGAAACGAGCCGAGCGTGATCACGATTGGCTCGGAGAGAAGGTCTCTGGATGCTGCCATCCTATCTCTTTTTCCACTTTTCCTCGTTTCCTCGCTATTCTTCAGTCTTTCTCGATATTGACTTCACATGTATCGACAAAATGAATCTTATTCACGTTTATACCGTTATCATGATACTTTCACTATTCACTACTTTGCGAAACGTTTCTTCCAATTGTCCAGAAGAAACTTTCAAACGGAAATTTGATATATCCGACTGATTCGCGAGATCGAAAATAACGCGAATTTGTGTTTCAACCACACTCAAGAGAGAAGTTGCTAACGACTATTGACTTTGGTTTGATAAAAGCAAAAATCACGCGATTAAATGTTTTTTTTTTCTTTAGAAATAGGATTTTAATCAAAAAGATAATATTGATTGTTTTACCGTTCTGGAAGAATACTCGATTGAATATTGTCATGTTTGATTCACTGCCTCATAATAAATATGATCGTGTCTCTCTCTCACACACACACATCTCGGGCTATATGGCAGCATCCGACTTCGGGGGTGATTTCTGAGAAACTCGTGTTCTCTCTCTCTCTCTCTCTCTCTCTCTCTCTCTCTCTCTCGATCGTTGGAGACCAACGCGACGAGCCAATCGTCTGTGATCTACTCTACGCTTAGGATCTATTTGATCGTCGTCCCGGAGACGCATCCCGTACGGAGCCGTGTCGGATCCGCGTCTCGGCGGGCTAATTGGGAACTCAATTAATTGTTCGAGGGTTCGAGGGAGTTGGTCGGGAAGAAGGGTCACGACTTAACGGCTACCATGCGAATTTACCTTAAAGCCGTCATAGGTCCACGAACCGAACTTGAGGACACAGGTCTGCTCGTCGAATGGGAAGTATTCCACGTCGATCTCGCATGATGACTTATATATGGCCGGCGGCTTCCACTCGACCAATCCTTGACTGTAGATTGTGGCCTTCGTGGCCAAGGTCACCTCGAAGTTGCCGTCCGCGCTGCGAGCGAGCACATTAGTGGTTCTGGGCGCTGCGGCGGTCGAGCTTACTTTGTACTTCCGATTCGGTACCAAGCCGTCTTTTTTGTTTTTTTTTCTTTTTTTTTAAATTTATTTCTGTACGTGTGTGTATGTATATGCATATGCGTTTTAATGTGGTTGACGATATATTTTCTAAATAAATCTTACTTGAACATAATAAATCTGTTAGTCTTTCTGCAGATGTTTCAGCACACAATCGACGGTAAAATAGATCCGCGCGAATAAAAGTGATCTTTCTGAGAACTGATGTAACTTTAAATTCGGAATATAGAATTACCATATCTGATTCGAAGCGTTCTCAAAATCAGATTGAATTATCGCACAGGCTCTTATTTCGATCCACTAACAATAAATCTGAAAGCTGAGGCACGTAAATAATCTGACTACGAGTTAATAGAATCTAATAGGTTATTGTTTCTTTTTTGTTATTATTCTATTCGTAATTTGGATAAAGTAAACAAGTTTTTTACTTCAGCGTTAATAAATATTTATGCATCTTAATGTTCAACTTATTAAAGGTAACCGGATCTTATATGATTTATAATACCAAATATGACCTATTTGCTATTTTTGTTGGT